GTTGAAATATAGTATATTTTACTAAAAACACTATTAAAACAGTTACTAGGCATTTTTTGACGTATACAAAAAAACTAGGTCTCCCCGATAATGCAAAAACGTCCATTTTCCGATCAGCTACTTTTCGATTAAATGCTTTTCGGTGAAATGACGGTGAGTTATAGCTGACATCGTCCTCGTCGTCCTCGGCGTCCTCGTTGATGTAGCCCGATTTCAGCTCCGAGTAAGTTTGGCAGAGCGAAGCGAACGATTCGGCATGGCGCTTGCTGTCCTCGAAGGTACGCTCGCTGAATGATTTATGCGCAAAACTGATTTCGAGAACAGCACCTACCGGCGAACCCAATAGTCGCAACCACACAACAGGAAAAGCTGAGGCTGCACGCTGATCACCAGTCCTTCACGGCTCTACGGTGTCAGTGAGCATTGAATTTCGGTGACTTTTGCATTATCGGGGGGGGGGCGCATTTTTTCCGTATCAAGTTTTGTAATTTAAATCAAGCAAGAGGTTTACACGTTTCGTTATTGCCAAAACCTTGGAGATTTTTAGTAAATATGGCAAAAAAACGAATTTTCTACTAGAATGGCCCCTTCGAAGTTTAAGTTTTCAAAATTTTAACGCTAGTAATAAATTTCGTTAATTTTAACAAGTCTCCCCCGATAAGGCGAAAGAACCACAAATGCAAAAAATATCGATCAGTTTTATCCAAAAACGACCGCTTTTCGACAAAAAATTCGAATTTGGAGGCTAATTGTTAGAGGATTTCCACTTTCCACATAGCAAAACTTTATGATAAACGCTATCGAAACACTTACGATTACATTAAAATGCATTTCTGGAATTATATAAAAAAGTTAGGTCCCCTATAATGCTAGAGAACCGAATTTTGAGCTGTCATTGCCAACCGTCTCCGAACGACGAATCAGCCGCGCGCTGCAAAACGTGGCAAGTGTTGCGGGAAGAGCGTAGGGCGGCCTACCTGTCATGGAGTCTGAAGCAGCCCGGCAAGCCGGCGGTCAAACCCGTCAAAATCTCGCGCAGCTCTGCAATAGCGAATAACTCCGTGTTCCGCCCATATATAGGTAACCGTCGGCTTTGAAGGCTGTTGGGACGAGTATGCGCGCCGTGTTGATGGGCAGGATCATGATGCAAGCGATTTCACGTTCACCATTCAGCCATTCCTACCAAAAAAAAATGTTGCTCTAGGCATCTAACCGGAACTCCTTAAACTCAGCACCGAAATTCATAACACTAACAAATGCAGGGTGTCCCAAACCCCCCTAACTAGCGGGCCGGAGACGTGTCCGATTTCTACGATTTTGGTATCTATCGAGATCTCTTGACAAGGCGAGTCCATCACGCTTTTCGAAATTTTGAAATTCCCGATTTTTTCTTACTTTTACTAATATTTTCGCGAAAAGGGCTGCATTTCTGATGCTTTTCGGATAAAAGGGTTTTTTACAAAAACCACAATTTCTGGATTTTAACGACTTTTCCGGAACCGCAAAGACAGCTTTTGCAAACCATTTGAAAAAAAACAGCTTGGTTGGCGCTTAAACCGGTTAAATTGGGGTTTTGACAAAAAAGCGTCGCCTTGTTGCATAAAAAATACCAAAAATTGGGCAAAAATTCCGGAATTTTAAAATTTCGAGAGGCGTGCTGGATTCGCCTTACCGAGAGCTCTCGATGAATACCAAAATCGTAAAAATCGGACACGTCTCCGGCCCGCTAGATAGGGGAGGATTTTTTTGGGACACCCTTGTACAGGGCATCCCAAAATAAGTCCTCCCCCCTCTAGCGGTACGCAGCGATGTCCGGTTTTTACGATTTAGGTATCTATCGAAAACTCTCGACGAGTTGAGGAGATTCGTTCTCTCCGATCTTTGACATTCCTGAATTTTTAACCTGATTTTTATCGTCTTTGGGGCGTGAATTAGACAGTTTTCCGAGAAAAAATAATTTAACCGGTTTCAGTCCGATCCAAGCTGCGTTTTCTAAGAGCTTTGGGCTGCCAGGAAAGGTGGAACAATTAGGAAAATGGGGGGCTGTTGCTAAAAACACTTGCGTGGCAAAAAGGATCGAAAATTTAGCCAAAAAATTCTGCAATAAGATGGACTGGGGCTGACCCGGAACTACTGGCATTAGCAAAGCTACATGACCGTACGCCACCCACCGCAATCATCGTACGCAGAATATTGGCCGCCATCGATCCATATTCTTCAATCGGCCACCCTACGAACTTGGGATCATTGTTTTGCCAGGTCTCCACATCTAAAGAGCTACTCAATAATCAAAAAAAAATCAATCCCCTCATTTAGCACACGAAATTAAACAAGGCAGCACTGTTAGCGGCGGAGCTATTTTTTATTTTCCCGTTTAGAACTAACACATATAATATAAAGTGGATTTCAGTAAAAACTTTCTATTTTTTGATTGCTAGGAAGTAGTGAAATACTTAAAAAATTTTGAAAATTCGAGAATTTGGTTCTGTTTTGGTCATTTTTCATACATTAAATTGTCTTACGTAAAAGGCATTTTTTCCGCGTTTTGATCTCCACACATAGCCTAGATTTTTCCATTAAGTCGTACAGAATTGCTGGGAAAATCCGCGCCCCCCCGCTAACAGTCCAGTGCAAGGAAAGCTCAAAAATTTCCAGGTAATTTCCACCAGCAGTACACCTTCATCGCCGGAACCTTTGACTTGACCACCTCCGGCAGCTCCAATAGGTATAGATCAGTGAGGTTCACGATCAGCTCTTTGACACTCTGAAAAGGGATCTTTTCACCGAAGGGTGCAAGGCGCAAAGGGGAGGTTGAATAAAATCGGGTTTGGTTCTTTAGGGATTCCCGGGGGGGAAACCAATTTTTTCCTGGTGGTCCCGGTGACCTAGTAATCAAATATAAAGTGTTTTCGGATTGTTTTTAGTAAGTTTTAACTATATTGAAAGCAGAATAACATTCAGAAAAATTTAGAAAAATGTTTCAAAAAGTCGAAAATTTGGTCATTTTGGGTCTTTCCCCCCCTGTGAATCCTAAAGGTTCTATAGGATTCTTCGACCTAATTTTTATTTTTTTAATTTTTTTTGGTTAAAATGTGTGTAGTTTTTATGCTCAGGAATAGTTAAAAACAATTTAGAAACGCATCCGCAATTTATAAAAAAATCTAGGCCTGTGCCGAAAAAAATTTGGTTTCCCCCGGGAATACTTCCCCGCGAATCCTAAAGAACCCCGGGTTTAACTTTGTAAACGCACACGCGCGGGGGGGTGTACGAAGGACCCGAGCTATCGGAAAGTCAAATTTCTAATGCAGAGGCCCGGTTAGGAATATGATTTTCGAAAATGTGCAAGGAGGTTTTACTGAACCCTTGTCATGGATCTGTTAAGCCAAGCCGTAAGTTTTTGTATTAAAATTTGATGACGAGCATTTGTCGAATTTACACCAGAACCGGCCAATTTTTCCAATGTTCCCTACCGGAAATCGGTTCACGTCGTGGACAACCTTCCGCAAAAGCCCCTCGGGGTGATCCAGACTCCAGTCGACCACGACGACGCTGGCGTGGAAGTTGCCTGGACGGAGTTGTTATCATAATGCCGTAATTCGTGATGCCGAGATTCATATTAGCGAAATTGCTGACCATCCGGGAACGGCGATCCGCCAACAAAATCGTGAGCGTCAAAGCTGTAGGTCGTTTCCTTAATATTCGACGTCCAGGGCTCACCGCCGTGCGACAACCGAGTGGTGTGGTACAACTGAATGTCAAATTGGTTCTTTCGCATTATCGGGGGGGGGGAAGATCTTTCATAAGAACCAATTTTTTTCAATATAAATAGCGACGGCTTTCTAAATCGTTTTTCCTATCTCTTAGCGTAAAAACTTTCCCATTTTTGATGAACAAATACAAAAAATATCCATATTTTCGAAAAATCTTTAACGGTTTAAAAAGTTTTTCTGGTTAGAATATAGCTTTATTTTACCGAAAACGTTACGAAAAATTTTTATTAAGTAGTTAGGCAATTCTAGATTAATATAAAAAATTGTCTCTCACCCGACTCAGACTGTCGAATTTTTAAAAGTTTTCAGATAGTTTTTAGAGTTGATATCGAGTTATATACTGCTACGACGCTTTTGAAACACTCTCTATTCAGTTACTAGGCTTTTTTTATACGTATTTATAGATTCATATAAAAAAGTTCGGTCTCCCCCCGATAATGCTAAAGAACCGGAATTTCCAGTTCGTTAGGCAGATTGCAACAGAAATCACTGACCAAGCCGACGCGTGAGTTGTTGCAGAGCATCGTGACGTGCTCGATGTAGGTGCCAAGGTCGCACTTTTCCATCAGGCCCGTTCCTCGAGCATCAGCTGGCAGTACTGTCATTGCTGAACACAACCGCTTTTAGGGACTTAACGCCAAGCTATACTTGTCACCATTCGCCACACCATATGCCCAGTTGTCAGTGGGGAGCCGTTTCACGAACCAGAAGAAGCTGAATCGAGTTAAAAGTGTCGAAAGAGCGCGAAAAGTTTGTAAGGGTTCAGTCTATTTACATCTTCCCCACAAAGCCGGACCCCAACTTTTGTATCTCGGTCATCTGTTGCCCTACAATCTTGTAAAGTATACGAAAATGTTCGTCTTTATCATGCGAGTATTTTGGTATATTTTACAGACACTGACGACATCGGGGTGCCGAGATACAGTAGGTGGGGGTCGGTTGGGCGGGGTAAACTGAACCACAGCCAAACGCCCACATCTGCTCTTGCTCGCTTTCTTGGCCCCAACCGGCGATCACCCAGAACTTGGGAACGGCTGTGATGAAGTCCTAGAAAGCGTACTGGACTGTTAACGAGGGGGGGGGGGGCGAGGGTACTCGACTACAGAGTGTCCGAATAAAAAAACTCTAACTCTAACTCGAACTCGACGCAGTATCGGATCGGAACGATTGATACACCATTTGAAAGCCCTTGAAATCACGAGTTTGTAGCAGTCTCCTTTAGCAGCCCCCTCAGCCGACTTCATTCTACCGTATCTTGGTTTCTAGAGTTGTGTAAAGTATACCAAAATACTCGACATAGCAAGACGAACATTTTGGTATACTTTACACACCTGGAGATGAACAGGGAGCCGAGATACAAAACTTGGGTGTCGGTTGTGGGGGGCGGGGGTAAACTGCTCTCTAACAGACCTGCCTAGCAATTCAAAACTACTAAAAACACGATAAGCATATTATACAGGGTGTCCCAATAAAAAAGGTATCGCTGGCATTTTGCCATTTCACATCCGTTCGACTTGAAATTTTGAATAGAGGTGCAGAAGGTAATTTAAAATGTTCACAGAGACTTTCAGCTCGATCGGTACAGTAGTTTTCGAGCTATGGCAAAAATAAACTTTATTTTACGTTTCTAACGCGGATTTCGCCGAAATTGAGCTTTGGAATGTAAAGAAAAAATGAAGCGTGGACCTCTTTTTGTTCCAGGAAATCTTTATTTCGCAAAATTCGGCTTGGAAATAGGCTATTTACGTAATTTTAACAAAGTTTTCGTAACCCCGATGTTTAGAAGAATGAGGGATTTAGAGACGGAAACTTATGTTAATTGATGCAAAGTCCAAAAAGATAGCCAAAGATACGAAGTTAAGCGTGGGAAAAACGGTATTTTTGCAATAACTCGAAAACTATTGTATCGATCAGGCTGAAAGTTTATGTGAACGTTTTAAAATCCTTTCTGCCCCACTGTGCAAAATTTCAAGACGATCTGAATTGAAATAACAAAATGCCAGCGTGACTTTTTTTATTGGGACCCCGGTATATGTCGGCTACGTGGGGGATTTTACGCGGGGGGACGGGCTGTTGGGGCCGAGCTAACGATTTTTTTGCGTTTCTTTTTGCTACAAACAAAACTCTTATTATATTTTTCGATGCTCTGTCGACTGGCACTAAAGAAATTTTTTAAAAATGTCGAAAATGTCGAAAATTTGATTTCCTTCTATATCCTCCATGAAAACAACGTTTAATACTTGTTTTTGTTATAACTATTTTGTATTACATTATTTCGAGCTAAAATTAAAAATCTTAGGATATTTTTGGATGCTCTACCGAATGGCATCTTTAAAATGTCGAAAAAATAGCGCGAATATCGAAAAACAGCCGCTCAAACCGATTTTCAAAGCCTATTTTTGTATTTGCCATAACTTTTTTTATATTACACTAATTTTAGCTAAAACAAAAACTCTTAGTATATCTTTCGATGCTCTATCGAATGCCGTTGCGAAAATTCCCAGAAAATAACGAAAACATCGAAAAAGGCCTGCCTGTCCCCCCCCCCGGGTAGCCGACATATACCTGGGACCCCTTTCCCGGATCGACCCCCCCCCGCTAACGACCCAGCACCCAGCTCACCATCAGGATCGGCGCGGCTCGAGCCATGTACAGCATATCGGGCATTCGCAGGTAATCAACAATATGCGATTGGATCTCCACCGGAAGACGTAGCAGCTGCTCGACGGACAGGTAGCAAGGGTCTCGCAACTCTTCGATCGCTGTCGGTATTCTGCGAATCTAAAAAGCGTTCGCCCGGTCACTGCCCCAAAACAAGTAGGTACTAAACTGTTACCGGGGCAGGCCTGTAACAAGGACCAAACTAATTTTCGTCTTTCCGCGAATAACTACCAATTTGTTGAAAAAATCAAATGTATTTTCATGGTGCTCTTGGCAGAGAAGCTAAAAAGTTACAAAAATGTAGGTTAGAAAAATTGAAAATTTAATTTGAAAGTTGAGCATGTCGATCTTTTTTTGGTCCCTCTTTATGCATTTTGACCAAAAAGTCAAAAATCTGCTTCTTTAGGATTTCCGGGGAACCAATTTTTTTCGACATAAGCCTAAATTTTTTTATATTGGGTTGGAACGTAAGTCTCTGCGCTTTTTTCAAAGCTCGCTGCTTGTCTTAATCGTGGACTTTGGACCAAGTGTTATATATCATTCAAAAGAGCTTTCTTTTCTCTATCAGATACTGGCATTCGTTTATTTTCAACGTTCACATCGCTCGAAATTAATGGGTTAGAATGAAAATCGTCACTTTCTTTTGAGTTCGATTTTGAGCACGATCACTAATTATTTTTGCAGGTGACCTATTGGGTTTCGAAAGAGTTTTTATTTTTCTACCTTTTCATGTAATTAGTTTATTTTTTTAAATAGCCTTTCAGTAATTTTTAGCAAATCGAAAAATTGACCAAAATGCACCCCTCCTTCACTTGCTAATTTGTGCGTTAAAAACAATTATTTAGCACATTCCAAGCTCGTGCTCGACTTTTCTGCCTATTTAGAAGAAACCACAACGTTCAATCAGGCAGTGCTATCTTTAAATTTTCATGGAAAAATATCAACCAAGGAGAACTACTGTCTGGTGCCATAATTTGAGCCTGGGTTTAGCGTAGGCGAATCCATAAACCTTTTAATCTTTCGCAGCAAGCTGTAGCCCTACTGGGTGAGAACATAATAGATCAAATTGAATTTGATAATTATGGTACGGAAAAATTTTGCATGGTGCGGTCGTCCAGCATTCGTGGGTCATTTTTGTCGATACTTCGTTCCCCGAAATCCATTCGAAAATAACGCCTATAAAATAAGCGGCTATTGAAGCCTTGTAGAGCAAGAAATGCTCTTTCTAATGGTATATAGGACCCAGCAAAAAGGTTCGGATTTCCGCACGAAATTTGAGTTCGAAAATACGCAGAGACTTACGTTCCAACCCAATAGGTAGAGCATCGGACTCGAAAGCCGTAGGATGCGGGTTCGACCCCCGCCCGGAGCACTTGTTTTGCGGATTGGACCCGGAGCTATCTTTGGACCTAGGAAGCCCGTAATTCCTAACTGGTAACTTACGGTATTTACCGTAAAATTTGGTAGTTTTTACGATTTCCAAGCTTTCCTTTTTCTATTTTTAAAAAATAATCAATCCGAGGTCAGAGACGTGGGGTGTGTACATTAATGCAGAAATGCGCAATGATTGGGGCGCCTCGCGCAGATGTGCAGATGGCAATGGTAGGCATACAGAGGGCTTGATAAAAATCGTGGCCTTGGGGACCGCGTCCGATTTTTCGAACCGATGATTTTCGAACAGATGACTTTTCGAACAGATGATTTTTCGAACAGATGTCTTTTCGAACAGATGATTTTCGAATAGATGATTTTTCGAGCGGATGATTTTCGAACAGATGGTTTTCGAACAGATGATTTTCGAACAGGTGATCGGCCACCGTTTTTCTACCTTAAATATAGTTAAAATTTACTAAAAACAATGTGAAAACACTTTATATTCGATCACTAGGACAACCGGGACCGCCAGGAAAAAAATTGGTCTCCCCGAAATCCTAAAGAACCAAAAATCTTTCCAAAATAGTTACGAGTTTTATAAAATTTATATATCGAAAAATGCGTTTAATTTTCTAAAAATCGTTAATATTTTGCAGACATGGCAATTCCGGGGGCCTAGCCCCCGGCCTCAATTTCCATAAGGCGCGGCTGCTTCCGGGCCCCGAAAAATATGCAAATTTGCGGGGCCGGGGCCGGGCCCGGGCTTGAACTTTTCAGGGGCCGGCCTCGGCCGAATCGGCTCGGTCCTGGAAAATCCTCATTTGCATCTCAATTTCAGCGTTATTATGCATATTTGCTAAGGAAATTCCAGGTCTTGCGAACTAAAAACGGGACTGGGCGGAAAAAGCGCGGATTTCCGTTTGCATCCTTCTTTTTTGAATATCGGATATGAAACATTAGACTGCGGCTTTTTCGGGGGCCCGGGCCGACAAGCCGGGCCGCATGCTGATTTTTTGGGCCGAAAAAGCCCCGCAGCCCGGCCCCTTGCCATGTCTGATATTTTGTGACAGGCTTATGCGGGATTACTGGCGAAAATTAGGCTTTCCCCGCGCGCCAAAGTCCCAGTCCCCCGGCTAACAGCGCAGTACAAAAGCGAAGCCAACCCGAGAAAATCGAAGACTTACACAAACTTTCATCGGGTAGGAGACGGGTTGCGGCTTGGTGGGGAGTTCATCCTTCAGGCCGACCACCTGGACACGCCACAGAATCAAAGTTTTTGTGCTTGTTTTGGGCCAAATTGTCTTATACGTCTTTAGGAACAGTATTTGTCAATAGCTTCTCTTATATTCTTAAATGACATTATTTTGAGCTGCATATAACATTCTTAGTATATTTCTTTGAGGCTCTATCGAATAGCGTTAACAGAAAGTCCAAAAATATCGACAAGCCCGAAAAATAGCTTACAAACCCCATTTTAGGGTTATTTTTTCTTTTGTTTTAACTCTCTTAGATTATTGTTTTGATAGAGAATCAAAATTTATATTTTTTTGGGTGCTTCCGTGTTAGCGGAGGAGCAAATTTTTAGCGGGGGAGCAAGGAATAATTTCTTTGCGACGGCGTTTTTTAAGTTTAGGGTTTAAGTAAATAAAGTTAAACAATTCCGAATGGCATTTTACTGTAATTTTATTCAAAAACAAACACAACTACATTTACAAAATCTTTCAAAAAATTACAAAACTTTAGAAAACGCCGACTTTTTGGGCCTTAACGTGGGAAAAATGACCAAATCGGTCGAAACTTCAGAATTATAAGCTGTTCTGATAAAGTTCCATAGTGTTTTGGTGATCGGAAACTACCAAAAACCTTAGTCAACTGTACTTTAATTGCATCACGTTGCAGGGATAGGCTTAATTAAAAAAATTTGCGTTTGCGTTTCGACACCCTGAACAAGAACGACGATCCATGTTCCATGAGCGAAATCTAATTATTGAGGTTGGTAAAATTTACGCTGATCGCGCCCTCGGGTTTTCTGGACGGCTCGCTGACGTGCCAGCAACACTAAACGTGGACGGTTAATATTATTCGATTGATTGTGAAGCGCTTTTGGTAAGAGTCTAGGACCCCCAGCCGGCACCAACTTTTGTATATCGACCTCCCCCTTTGTGCTAGCGAGCTCTAAAGTATACCAAACTGTTCGCAGTATGCTAATTATCAGGAACACTTTATATTTGAATCGAAAAAGTAGCGAAAAACAAAATTAAGGAAAGTAGAAAAGTCGGCCAGGGGGTTTCCTAGACTTTAGCCGCGGTTTTTGAGATTAAAAAAAGACAGTGCTACACTCCCGGTTAATAGTAACTTCGACGAGATAATGCGATAGCCCTCACCACTCCGCTGGACAACTTGAAGAAGTAGCGAAGAAGAACGGCTAACATTGCTGCCGGTGAGGACCGCCGCCGTGCGGCGTGTTGGCAAAGCGAATTCTAGTATTCTGCCGTCAATGTGAGTCAAAAGAAATCAGAAAGATTTATGCAAATCGAAATTCTAATTGAATTTTTATGTCGTGTTCAGTTTCTTCGTCTAAAAACTAAATGACATGTCGTGTAATTCAATTACTGTTCTAATTATTTAATTTAAATAATTTATTCAATGAAATGTTCTAATTATTTATTATTCCTAGTTCTTTGGTTTTTTCGTTTTCAGCTCCACATCGTCCTGAGCTGCTTGAAATAGATTGTAGCGGTCTCGTCCTGCTCAAATTTCAGCCGATTTCCGTTGACGTTTCGGATGTGATCCATCGGCTCGATCTGAACATTTTCGGCAAGTTCAAAGCTGGCGTACCTTTTTCTGGAACCAGGAGAGGAAGACACGCCTGAAATCGGGCTCGACGAGGATGATCAGCCAGATTTGGGAGACGACCTGAGATAGTTTGTAACCGTTTTTACAACCTCAATAGGAAAAAATCCAATTCTATAATGTTAAAAGGCAGCTCTAAAAGTCCTAAAAGTTCAGCTACGGTAAGAGACGAAATTTCATCTTCATTACCTGTATTACCAGCAAATAGTAAAACCCGAAGCTGTAGAACCCGACGTAGTACGGTGGTTGAGCGGCGAGGATTTGATGGTACGTGATGAAGAACATGGCCATAGCACATTTATAAGGGGCCAAATACAGTAATAATCGTGAGGTACGGTAGGATATCAACGTTTTGTATCTAAAGAGGCGCAAATTGGGGCAAAACGTAGGTCTTTCGATATTTTTCAGACGCTTAAAGTCGACCGAATCGGGGTCAAATCCGAAAGACTGCGGGAAGAAAGCCAGAGGAAGAGAGCGGGAGAGTCAGAGGGGGACAGAAAGAGAGAGAGAGAGAGAGAGAGAGAGAGAGAGAGATAAAGTTTAGAACCCACCTGTCCCCAATTGTCGAATATCGAGAATGAAACACCAGGTAATACTCCTTTCTGCACACCCAATAAAACCAAATAAAAAACTTAAAAAATCTTATCTTTCAAGCCTTTACATACCATGATCGCCAACAAATGCGAAGAATACACCCCAATATAAATGGCAATCGGTTTTATGTACCCGCTGTAGAAGAGGAATTCAGCGATTATTAGAGAAACAAACTAAAAGGTTATTAAAGTTTGTAAAATAAGAATTACCACATTTAAGGCTATCAGATACGCCAGTCGACTGGTTCTATATTTATTTTCGTAGGTTTCTAGGTTTTTCATAGCAATGCATCGTTCTATCGCAAATCCAACCATCATGTGGATCGCAACACTGGCTACTGGAAATCGACAAAACGTATTTTTTTATTGATTTTCATTCGCTATATTTATCGCCAATTTTATAATAGCGATTCTGCATTACATTATTGAATTCTGGCATTTATGGCAAAAGATTTCGTGTCTTTTTGTAAGAATAGGTTTTGGATTCCTTGGCCTGGAATTTCGGCAATAGGCATTACAGCATGACTCATAGGTGAAAAAAGCTAATAATTGCCGATAAGAGCGCATCAAAAAATTATAACTACTGAAACACATTAACGCAATTAGTGGTATTTCGGTCGTTGACAAAAAATAAAAATTGTGCTTTTCAAAGCCTTGCCAAAAGACTTACCTGTCTCACTAGTCAAAGAGAAGAATCGAAAAATCGTCAAATCAGTCAGAATCCCGCTTTCGGATAGGGCATGTTTTAGCAATCGAACGATCATCGCTAGAATCCCAGCGGCAGGCTGGATTATTAGCAGCATCGTGAAATTCACATTAAATAGCTAAAAATATCATTAAGCTATTTCTACCAACTAACCAGCTTACCTTCTTGCCCGTCAACATTTTATAAAAAGGTATAAACGATGCTATCATCACGATTAAACCCAATAGATCTGCCATCTAAAGCCAACTCACGAAAAAAATTGATAATGACCTACCATTAATGTATCAAAATGTTCCGCAAAGAAGCTGGGCGTCGCGAAGAAGCTGTGGATGTCCATCACGGAAAAGAAGCTCAAAAAATCTGAGTGGCAATTTTTTTGGGGTCCTGATGGGCCCCGGGTATTTGGCCCGCAGGTTGAGGAATCTGTGGAAGTGGCCTAATTAAGGATTTGGAAGGGCCGAAAGTGCCCCCCGCTACGCAATTCACCCCCAGACTCCCTTAAATGTGGATGAATAATAATGGGTGGGGTTGGATGAATGGGGAATGGGATCAGATATTAGCGGATCAAACGTAAAAAGCGGGTCAGCGGAAATCAATAAAGTAAAAGTAAGTAGAAAAGTAAAAAGTAAAAATTAATTTATAGTAAAGTAAAAAAGTAAAAGCAAAAATTAACTTAAGGTCTGCGAATACGTATTGAAAAAGCGTTGAACATTAGCTTCCTGGCGAAAATATGCCTCCTGGGTAACAAAGCATATTTAGGATGATCCTCCTAAGGCGTTGAATTTGCTTTAAAGGCGCTAGGAAGTCAAAATTCACATGCCCGTGGATGGAACCTATTCGTGAACACTAAAGGCCTACGGCACCACAATTGCAGTATCCAGTCAGAAATTTGAACCTTGTGCTGGGTACAAAAAATTAATCTACATTTGTAGATAATGAAATTATTTGGGATGTTTTTTTTTGAGGAATAATAATTCTAATATTCTGAATAAGATTACGTTGTTTTTTTTTGCTGCGGAATGGCCATCCATGATTTAATAATATCAAAAAAAAAGCTGCACCCGAAGGCCTCTCTTTTTGCTCGAAGGGCACTCAGGGTGAGAGACGATCACTAGTTTTTGAATTTTATAAAATCGGAAACAGCTATTCTGCAAAAATAAACAACGACATCTTGTTCAGAATTGAATTCTCCCTTGAATGAGCTAACAAGGTTTTGCCGATAACTCAAAAAAGCGCTTCTGGCTAGGCCCAGGCCGTGCTTTGGGCTTGGGGTTGGGCCTAGCTCACAAGGGAACCATCCGAGGTCGAGGTGGCGTTTCGTTATGGGACCCAGCCCATTTTGTGCAGAATTTTTTGCTGATTCCGAATCCGCTGCTCATTTTTGCCAAATAGCTCGTTTTAAAAAGTTATAGCGCTTCAAAGTTCCATTTTTCCCAAATTTGTCAACTTCAAAGCCATTTATTTTGCACTACCCGGATGATTCATCAAAAACGAATATCGCCATCATATTAAGAAAATTTTTCTCTATCGAATGAGCTATTTAACTCAAAATCGTTGAAAATCGAAAAAATCGACGACAAAAAAGTTGGGTATGGACTTCGTTTTTTGTATGGGAAATGGTGAAAAACAGGCTAATTCACACTCCCATAAGTGAACATCGATAGGCATTAGCGCAGTAATCAAATATACCATTCGAATCAGAAAAAAATTCTCTACAAGATAGGCTATTTAAAATGGATTGGCATATTAAAATAAAAAAGTTGGGCATCGCGGCAGATGACCGCCCGCGGGCTAAAATATGATCTTAAAATCGCCATAACTTTTTAAATCGGGCTATTTGGCATAATTGAAAGCGGGTTCGGAATCAGCAAAAAATTCTGCACAAAATGGGCTGGGTCCCATAATGAAACGCCACCTCGACCATAGGTGGTTCCCTTGTCAGATCATGCTTAGGTGTAGGCTAAGGTTGAGGACAGCCAAGGATTAGGCTTTGGTTTAAACTAATCTCGGTGTAGGATGAAACCCACTTTCCGAAGGTCTTTCAACACGCCTGGATGTTATTTTCCTAATAAATTATTTTGGGGCAATGCCATGGGGGAAATGACGTCCGGAAATAACCAGAATCTATTTTTAAAATCGGGGCTCCCAAAATCAGCAGGATGAGGCAATTTTTCGAAGCTGTGAGGCTCAGAATTACTTGAACCTCAAAAACTAGACAAATCCTATAATTTATGAAATAGCGGTTCCGGCGTCAAAGTCCGTTCCCATGCTACTTGCCGTGTTCTCTCAAGCTAATCAGCCTTTTCTCCCGATTTCCCTCAAAGTACTGTAGTTGCGATTTATTTTTTCAAGGCCAATTCGACACCAGACACCCAAACAGCATGTTTTTGTGAATAGTTAATTTTTTGGGTGGACGCACCCAAAAAAAAATGTCGACAATAGGAAATGCACCTGCCAGACCTCGGCCGGGCAAAAATCGAACCGGTTGAATCGGAATGTTATTGCTTCCGAATACCTCAGCTATCTGTTTCGATGTTTTGCCGAGTATCGAAACGGAAAATTTTGTAAACCTTGTATATGCGGCGAGCTGGTTTGTGGCCACGATTCTATGGTACGGCTCCCTGTACAGCATCTTTGGCATCAAGTCGGCCATGTCGAAGAAGTACAAGCGGACCCAGATTTATTTACTGGTAAATTACGCGTGTTAAAAGGTCGTTGTAAACTTTTATATTGATAAAGACCGAATAATTCAACTTAAGATTAAAATGTTGTCGGAATGTTGAATTGACAGAGGACATGAGCTTTGTCCTACATATTAAGTCTACGGTAAAAATATTAAGCGATTTTAGGTACTACAGGATGTCCCAAAAAAAAACGAACCATCTGGCATTTCGCCGTGTAACATCTAATCGGTCCCAAAATTCGACGAGAGGCGTATTAGACCCTAAATAACAACAATCCTGACTTACAGCTCCGTAGCTACAGTAGTTCTCGAGTTATAACAAAAACAAACTTTATTTTCCATGTTTCTTAGGGTTTCCGTGGAATTAGACCCTTTAAACATTAAGTGAAAATGATCCGGTAGGCCTTCTTTACTTTAAGAAATTTTTCCGGACGAAAATTAACTAAATAAACTTCGATTTAAGCGATTTTTTACAACGCAAAATTACCCAGGGTCTTTAGCGAAACAAGGGATTCGCAGCCGGAAGTCGATGCAAATCGATGCAAAGTCCAAAAAGATAGCCGAAAAAACTGCTTAGAATTGCGAGGAAATCAGTAT